CAGCCCTAGTTCGCCACACATGAAATATCTTTTTTATACAAATTTTCGAGGCCGAACCTCTGGAAAAGTTCAAAACCTCCAACCTTGACCCATACAAGGGCCCTGACCGACCCGACTGATCATATGGCCGCTTTCGAGTCGACCGTCTACATCCTCAAGATCACCGATGCCTTCAAATGTCGGTTGTTTTTTACCACACTGAGAGAATCAGTCATTCGCTTGTTCAACGCTCTCTCGACAAGAATAATTCTCTCATTTAGTGAGTTCAAAAGTTTGTTCATGTCCCATTTTATTAGCTCACAAAAACCACGAAAGAAGTCGCTATCCCTCCAAATCAAAGAGGAGGGAGAAACCCTCTGTTCTATATAGTTAGGTTTCAACGGGAGATGCTAGAAATCCAGAATCTCGAACCCGTAATCACTTAAACCGCCTTGATGGTGGTTAAAAGTTAACAGTTTAAATATGCCCTAGGGTTGCGTGAGCTGAGTTCTATGGCTCAATTTTCGGAGATGGTTATCGATCACATCACCACCGAGGAGTTACTGCTTCACGATCGGGAGGAAGCCAAAAAAGCCGTTGTTGACACCTAAACACAAAAAAGGAGGCCAGTAGGCGATGGCTGGCGGGCAAAGAATGTTCCTCGTTCCCACTTGCTCGCGCTACGAAGGTGGGCAACACTGCAATGGAAATTCGAAAGATGATCTCCATGGTAGAAGACCGACGCACCCAACATAACGAACTACTGAAAGCCCAACCAGAGCCTCTCAAAATACCCCCCCCCCCCCAACAAAACCAAAAACCCCCCCCCCCACAAAGAATCTCGTTGGCTGAACTAGTGGAAGCCATTCAGGATAAAGATTATTTCAAGAAGCCTCAGCTGATGAGAACCGGAGGAACCTCCCGAAACCTCAATAAATTTTGCACTTATCATAGTGACTATGTCCACAATACGAAGGCAGGCACCTTAAAAGTCTCGTCGAAGAATTGATCAAGGCGGGAAAGCTGAAAAAGTTCGTAGCTACCTCAGCTGTCACTTGCAGACAAGGGAAAGCCACGATGAGCGGAACGAACAATGAACCAGTTAGAACTAACACCCTCCGAATCATTGAAATAATACCCACCACACTAGGAGGGGGAGGAGAGTCTTCCCAGAGATCAAGTTTGAAGAGGATCCAGTCGGGGGACCTATGCGCCGCCACCCTTATCCCACGAAGAGCAACACATCCCCCTATCATGTTCACTGATTATGACCTCCCGATAAAAGACAATCTCTACAATGACGCGATTGTTATTATGGCTTTACTCAATGAGTGGTAGGTGCGAAGCATACTCATTGACACGGGGAGCTCGGTAAACATCCTGTTTAAAGTGCTCTATTTGGATTCTCGAGAGAGAGTAAGGAGACCCTTAGGGCAATCACACTTACAGTAGCCTGGGGAGATACCGACCGACAGTTTACGAGGTCTGAGAACTTCCTGGTGATCGAATCCCCTCCCACCTACAATGACATCGTTAGCTATCTATTTCTAAACAACTTCCGGGCAGTAACCTCCACCTGCCATGTGGCAGTGAAGTTTGCAGGAGAGGGAGAAGTCATCACCATTCGAGGAGATCTTGAACAATGAAGAGCGTGCTACTTTTTATCTTTCTAATTTGTACAAAAATAGTTAACTGAGCATCCTTTTCCATGAAAAATTTGTAAGTTGTTTGTGAAATCTCATTGGGTACTTGTTGAATGACTATCCTGTTACACAATTGAAAAATAATTATTTGATATTATTGATAATGAAATAATTGAACATCATCAAAACTTAATTTGCAAAGGGTGAAATTGTAGATATGTATGAAAAAAAAATGGAATGTGCGAAAATCAAACTTTTTATATTTCATAGTTGAATTAGTATGCAATCTTTTTTTAACTATCTTAAGGGATAATTACATATAGACCACCTGAAACATTGATATTTTCAAATTAACCACCCACTACCAATGTATTTGTGTGTGCCACATTCAAACTATTGAGAATTTGGTAAAAATGTGGTAAAAATGAAAAATATGGGTTGTGGTTTTATAATGAATTTGATATTTGAGTGAGAATTTAAAGATATTTGAGTGAGAATTTAATATTTGAGTGAGAATTTAAAAAATGGATGAAATAGAGTGGTTGATTTGTAAATAGCAAGTTTCAGGTGGTCCGTATGTAATTGCCTCTTAGCTTAAATGTTGCTATTATCTTATGGTCCACTCACTTATAATTAAAAAAAAAAAATCATATATTTGGCCCTCAATGGATTGTCATTGCAAACAAGCACAAAACGTTGTAATCTCCCCTCATTCTACCTACTACCACTAAGAAGGTATGAAGCATTTGATAAAATATAACAGATGTAGGATCCCCATTTCATGACAAAAATTTGGATCATCTCTAATTTCTCAAACGGGCTGTATTAATTTCAATGATAAGCTTTGATGACGGTTGGTGCCTTCTTGTTTTTTTGATTGATTGTCAGACTATTGACTATTTGGGATTATGAAATTGTTTTCATTGTTACTTCCCCATCTTTTTGTTAAAGCACCATTGATGCAATGCTAGATTCACCAAATTAAATTTAAATCACAGTTGGCATGATACTAGTTTAAATCAGGCCTTACACAATTCGATCATTTCTTTTTTGGCTTTATTGAGCATTTTAAGACTTGTACAAACCTTGATTACGTCTCCATGAGATATTAGATTTCCTTGTAATCCATGTTATTCTTTATATTAATTTTTTATAATATACTTAACAGTCTCGTCCTTTTCCCAAATCCTTTTACAAAATAGCCCAAAATGCAGCCTTATTTGAGGAGATTGCTCTGTGGGTTGATGTTGTTTTTAGTACATTAAATATTGTATTAAAGGTATATTACTGCTTTTATTATTGTTTGAGCATATTAGTAGAAGATTGAGACCCCTTATTTGATTTCTTATTAAGTGTGATGGTTGAATTTGAATCAACCCTGCTTCTTTTTTAGGATTCTGAATCATGCAATAGGGCTACTCTTTTTAAATGTTCTTGGAATAATTAGGATTGCATCTTTAGGATTCATGATTTTGGTCATAACTTTTTTAAACCTATCCTAATAAGACTTGGGCCATTCCTTTTAGAAGTGTTCTTATAAGAAAGTGTAACTCAAACCCTCGTCAACCACTTTTGATAGGATTGTCAGGGTCAAACCATTGTCAACTGCTCTGAGCCCCTTCTAGGAGTACAATCATGGGAATTTAATTTAAATTATGGCCCATTTTATTCATTTTATCAAAAAATAGGTTCCTCTCTCAACAATCATGTTGAGCGTGCTTCACGGAAGGTTTTAATGTTGTGGGTGGTAGTTGCGACATGACGAAGCTTGGGAGCCTTTTGGAGAGAGCTCAGTTGTGATTGAACTTTATAATCTAACATTCCAAAATGGAAGATAATCATGATCTCACAAGTTCATGTAAAGTAGATGGCTGAGCAATTCTATGCATCTTGAGTAAAACCAATAGGATTTTCTCCCATCAATGCATTAAGTGATAAGAGGCAAGAACACTCAAAAGTAGTGCCATACTACCATGTGTCGGAAGCAATCTTCAATTCTTATAGAATTACGAAATTATAATGCTCTTTTTTGGAGGGCATCATTTAATTTGAAGAATTCCAAAAAAATAACAGATAAAAAACTTCAAGGTTTGCAACCCTCAAGGAAGTTTTCAATGCTCTAATCAATCTCAAGTTTATAACAACTCGGACTCCTTCAACTAGTGGTGAGGATGATGGGCACCCTAGCATCACTCAAATTGAGATTAATGAATATGAAAGTTTCTTGAGAAGTGATCCTAAATAGGGAAATTTCTAATGGACTAAGCATGGGGGATGCTCCGGGAGGAGTTTTGAAATTGTAAGTCTAATGCAGTGATGAGGAGCTCTATGCAGTTCTTTATAATCACAACATCAAATTTATTAATATTGCATTCTAAGTAATGAGTGAATGCGGTGTGGCCTGAGGACAGAGGTAGTATCTCCATTGATTAAGACCCTAACCCAACTCCTAGATCTTTGGATGAACCAATCTCAATGATATTTTTTGATAAGATTTAAGTGGCTAGCGTCCACCTTAGAGTCTCTTAACAGGGATGAAATAGCTGCTGCTGTGGGTTCGCAAGGAATGAGGGCAATTCCTACCTATAGATATAACTCTTCACGCCTCCTTTTTCTTTCCAGCAATACATGGAATTGCATCTGGGTCTACAGTGCCTTGGACGGCCTCTTCCTCGAGCCAATAACTAACATAAGACAATGAGGTGCACCATGGAATTTCTCTGCAAGGAAAATTAGCCAACTTATTCAGATACCTCGAATTTCTATGCTAGGGTAATATTCAATTAATAGAAATGATTGCTGGAAAACCTTTTATGTATTAGTTTCAGGATTGTTAGAGTATAGAGAAGGTGGTGGTGGGCTCATTTGGTCAAGACGGGTTGATCTATGGCGGGCTTGGTCAAATGAAATTGGGTTTGTTTCATTCTAGACTACCTATTTTTTAGCTTTTTCGGATGCGGGCAAATCTACTTGAATTTTGATTGTTTCTATGAGATTTGGGCTTGCTTTTTTTTTTATCATTGTTAGTTTTGTTGTGGAATTTTTCGTGCTTTGCTATGATGTTTCCTTGCAAAAGTTAATCTAAAGCGGCAGAGATATCGGTTTCTGGTACAAACAATATAGCAATCTTTAACTGTCTGGTCTGCTTTAGTTTAGTTATCTTAGATTTAGAAAATTTCAGTAACAACTTTACCGTGAGCTTGTGGAGTCACAATTTTGTGCACTAAACTCAGCGTATTAACCAAGTGATGAATTCATACAGCTAATTAAAGCACTTGGGTTGCGCTTTATAATACCTTATGATTTTTTCAGGTCATGAAATTGTGTCCTCAAGTCATTTTAGATCTGATTTAGCACAAAACTGCCATGCTTTTGCAGATGGGATTTAGAGCGCGGCGAGGCTAAAATTGATCCTCTCCTATCATCAAAGGATGCAGCATTGTCCTCTGGATTTGACCCCTCAAAATCTATCCAGTTATCGTGGAATCCAAGGTATGTTGCATTGTTTTGTTCTATTTCACTTAATGGCACCAAGTGAAGTAACTTCTTTTTATGATGGTTAACTGGGTCTTATTTCTTCACATGTAATATGCTTCTAGTATTCTAAATCATATTTATTTATAATTTTACATCTGGAAAAGCTTTGGATTCTTAACCCAAGCATTCTTTGACACTCGTCGTCTGTTCCTTAAGCTAGGGTATTTTTATATGAAGGATTCATCTCTAATGAAGAATGTGATCATCTATTATCTCTGGTAAAATTCTTTCTTAGCTCTTATTTTAAACTACTTTTTTTAAACTACAGTGTGCTCAAATTTTATGCTTCAAGTGCAGGCTAATGTTAGTAAGCTAAATAAACCTTTGGCTATTGACAACAGTACAGGAGATGGTAGCAGTACTTTTTTTGTCAGTTCTCACAGTGGATTGGAGCACAGCAAAGGACAGGTGAGATTTTTATCTTTAATGTTCTATTATCCTCTCTTTGAACAATCTATTTGCAAATAATAAAACTTATAACCCTGCTATTTTAAGACATCCAAGCGTTGCGGAGCCTCAGGAAACTCTCTCCACACTTGTCATAAATCCGCAATTTTTCTTCTTTCCTCTAGTGTTATCAAATAGACTTTCTTACCACACAATTCATATGTATTTACATATCTGACATCTATAAGTTTTATATTTACACTGATCACACTTTAGTGTCATAAACCTATATATGAAAAAGTGCATTTCACTTTTAAAAAGTTAGTAATGGTGATATTTTTTATGCGATTGCTAAAGTTTTGAGTTTTATGCATGTTAATATGAAAATTTAGGTATTATACATGTAAATAAATACATAAGACTGCAAGCCCGCACGACCACTTTTTTAACTTTTTTCCTTGTGGCTGGAAGGATGAAATTATTTTGAGAATTGAGGAGAGAATATCAGCATGGACCTTTCTTCCAAATGGTATCCCTCTTCGTCTCTTCAATTCTTCCATTTTGTCAAGTCCTTGTCATCACTGCCAACTTATGAAACCTTATAGTCCGTGTATATATGTATTTTTAGAGAATGGAGAAGACATGCAAATTTTCCATTATCGAGTTAATGAGGGCTCTGAAACACTCTATCAGTACAATCAGGGTAAAATCGAAAATGGGAAAGCTGGGCCCCAAATCGCCGCCGTTTTGATTTTCCTTTCCAACGTGTCTCTTGGTGGTGAGATAGTCTTTCCAAAGTTTAAGGTGAGATCAAATTTTTTTGATCTTATATAATCCTCAAATCCTTATGGCTTATGTTTTATTTTCTAACTGTTCAGAATAGAGATTATAACACAAAAAATGGGAAAGAGATGTTGTCTGAGTGTGCTTCATCAGGTTTCTCAGTGAAACATGTTAGAAGTAATGCCCTTCTGATTTTCAACCTTCATCCTAATGCGACAGTAGATGAGAGCAGTCTTCATGGCGGTTGTTCGGTGCGCGAGGGAGAGAAGTGGTCTGCAATTAAACGGATTCATGTACGCGCATTCGATCGAAATGAGCTTGATCGAAAGAAGCATTCATTGGATTCTAAGGAGGAATGTACTGATGAAGATCAGAACTGCTCGCAATGGGCGGCTATGGGAGAGTGCCAGAAGAACTCAGTCTATATGTTGGGCACTTCTGACTACTATGGTTCTTGCAGGAAGAGTTGTGGTGTGTGCTGATAGCTCTTAGTTTTTCTCTTAAAACAATGATTTGGGAGTTTAGTTTCTTTCACCTTTTAGTTTCACACCTCATAAGAAAGAGATCTATATATATATTTGTGTGTTTGTGTGTGTGATGCCACCCATGACCTGTTGGTAGAGCAATCTCTTTGAAGGTTGTAAATTCCCTCAGGTCACGGGTTTGAATCCCCCTCTAGCCAATTTGCCAGTAGTGAGGGCGGTCCTCGAATAGTTAGGCACGTGAGGGTGGTTGGGGGCTCGTATAATAGCCTTCGACCATTCTTGTCATATATATATAAATAAATGTATGTATGTTCTTTACAAAAATATGGGTGTGTGGAAGTTATGTTTATCGAATAAATGTTTATTCTTTGGTGCATCTTTTTGATGAATTATTTAAAAAGGTTATAATTGTTTCTACTCTCAGGATAAAGGACTCTTTCGATTGCAGTAAGGTTTGTAATGTAAACAAATTTACAAAAGAAAGGCAAAAGGATTTGTGAAGCACTTTACCTTTGGTATGCCACACAAAAGTCTCAAAACATAGTTTTGACATGTATTGGTAAAGCAAAAGTTTTGGAATCACTCATAAGTTTTCAAAATAAAATTTTGCAGGTTTATAATTAAATTAATTGTCTCAACTTGATTAATCCAATGAGCCTATGATTTTTTATTTCCATTATCAACACCTAAATAGCAGAAAAATAATTCATAACCCAGGGTTTAACTTTGAATCATATAATTTAGTGCCTTGATTTATATTTATATTTAGAGAAAATGCCATAAAAAAAGCTATAAAAGGACCTCTCAACTCTCTATAAGAGAGAGTGTTGCACAAGAGATTGAAGATAACTTAGAGTTTTTAAAGTCTCAGAGTTTCACATGAACTTTGCAATCAAATAGTTGTCCAACTTCTGCTATTTGACCACTGTAGATTAGCCTGTGCACTATCTTCAAACTACAACCACCTTATTATCATTGTTAGATAATAACCACCTGACATCCATAATTGAACTGCTTATGTTTGACTGTCAGTGCTTGGTCATAGTCGGTGGACTATCATCACCTAAACTCTGCTACCACCATTAGACATCCACCACATCAACCAATAAGTTATCTTTACGCCTCCATTGCTAGATCACAACAATTGGACTGTTGTTGCTTTACCACCACCATTGAATTGTTGTTATAGTCATCATCAGACCACACCATTATAAAATCATCTTCATCACTATCAATTCACCATTATGAGACCACCATCATGTTTAGGCCACCGTAATCACTAAATATTACAATCATTTGAGCATCATCCAAACACTACAATTGAATTATCACCACCTACCCAATTGTTGCTGCATAAACCTTGTCATTAGATTGTTATCGCTCTATCTATTGCATTTGACCTCTGCCATCATACTATTTTTTGCTTGATTACTGCCATTAGATTGACATCACTTGATGATCACTTCTTGATTGTAGCCATTAGACTATCATTAGTTGATCATTGTAGCATACTGATCACCATTGCAACACCATGAAATAACCATCGCTGAATCATAGTCGCTCGACAATCGCTATAAAACTATTGTCACCCAACCTCTATCGTCAAACTGCTTCCATTATTAGATTCTTGTTTAGCAAATTTTATTCTCAAATAGCCATCTTCAAATCACCATCAACGGACTATCATTATTTGATTGCCATAGTTACACTTTCATTGTTGGGTCATTATTGCCTAACCATTGCCATCAAAACATTACCCCAAATATCAATGCTTAACCAGCACCACTTGATTAACATCACCTAACTATTGGTTTACATGTGCCAAACAAGGGGGATAAACTGGGCTTTTTTGGATTTTTAATATTATATTTTATTAATTATTTTTAGAAGAAACATATATAAAGTTAAAATTTAAATAAAGTGCAAAGTAGAGATTAAACTGCAATAAAGATGTAAAAATTTATAAGTGTCTTGATTTATCCAAAATCTTTATTTAAATATGGCTACATCAAGCAGCTCAAAGGATGGTATAAAGTTTTTTAAAATTAGTGAAAATTGGGGTTAGTGATAATGTGACATCTAAGTGTATAACCTTCTATTTGGCATTGGGAGTCTGGTACTAACACCTAAACACTGGACTAGTGTCTGGGTGCATGGGTTTGGCAATTGGGCACCAAACACTTTTTATATGGTGTTGGAAACAACACTTGAGTGCTTTCTTCTCCTGTGTATCATCTTGATCTTAATTGAGTTCATCTAGGATGGTGCTTGAACACTTACTTTTGGTGTTTGAGTGCTTAACTCTCAAGTTAAAACTTCATGTATGATGTCTTGGAGCTTGGGCTAGACACTTGGACTAGGTCCTTAGGTGTCTGATAATTGTGTAGATAAAAATTTAAATGATAGAAAGGTTCTCTATTTTGAAAAGAATTCCATATATCTAGAGCGTGGGATTAGTCTATATAAAAATTTATATTGTAAGATAAAAGAATAATCTAAGTAAATATGTGTACTCAAAATTCAAGTATCAAACTATATGATATAGTCAAGCAACAATGACTATGTTTAAGGTATGTAATAGAGTCCTGGTAAAATTCAAACAACATTAGTGTGATTGAATTCAAAAGCTCATAACATAAAGGCCATTAAATAGGTGCTAAGCTAAAGAGAATATGTTCTTATTGGAATATGCCTTGACAAAGAATATTTAATTAAGTGGATGGATAGTATATTCAATAGTGACCTAAATATACTAAGAGTAGACTTTGGTCAATTTGGCTTTACCAGTCTTAGATTTGTTCAAACAAAAAATGAATGTTTAAGAAAATTAAGAATTATAATTATCGTGCTAAAATTTTTAGTTTAAAATATATTCACATTTATTTTAGCAAACTAGAAAGGGTCCCTAGAAGCATTTAATAGATATCATGATATTTATGTCACTAGGACCGAAAAGGGCTATCGTGAACTATCATAAAATATTATGGTCTTCATTAGGATGTGTGGTTTTTAACTAATCAATCTACCAATGATTGTAGAAAAACTAGTATACTAATAATATGGTGCCTAAGGGTGTAACTAGGTCATCTTTATGTATGTATGTATGTATGTGTGCAAATTGATTATATTAATAAAAATAATCTATCATCCTCGTAGATGCTTCATAACAAATATGAAGACATGAGGATCATCAAATATGCATAATAGTAGTTTGTCAAACTTAATTATTTATGATTAAAAAAATACAAAAATAAACTAAATTAATTAATTAATCCATATAAAAATTTAGAGAATTTAGACATTTTTATCGATGTTAGTCTCTACATTTTCCAAGATTTTTGAAAACAACTTAATTTTCTTAAAATTTTAAAAGATTTAAAATTAGTATTTTATTTTATTAAACTTCTTAAAATTTTCTAAAAAATCCAACAAAACTTAGGAAGATAACATGTCAGATACTCTCCCTAAAATTTTAAAAATTTTAGAATTAAAAATTAATTAGTTTAGGTTCTGAATAGTTGATTTAAAGTTTGGATATTCATATTATTTGAAAGTAATTTGAATTATTATGAAACAGTTTTCTTAGGTTGATATGTCATTAAGATCCATCATCCTGATGTGTTTTAAAATTTCTAGAATTCAATATTTATTTAATTAATTAAAATATACAACTTAAAAGTTTTCAAAGTTAAAATATGAGAGATTTTCTTATGTTATCATACTTTTAGTAGATAAAACACTCCTTGATATATCTATTGAAATATGAGAGATTTTCTTATGTTATCATACTTTTAATAGATAAAACACTCCTTGATATATCTATTGCTAAATTTTCATGTAATTTTTTCATTACTAAACCACAATAAAAAATAAAGTAAAGAAAAATACTCCAAAATTAATTAAAAAATGGGGAGGGTCGAACTGGCACTTGTCCGACTTGATTATAGTAATGAAATCTATTTATAGTAGATTTAGTTGTTGCAATATCATATTCCTCCCTCTCTAAAATTCTCTCTTTATAGACACTCTCGAGCTTGTTGACTGACTAGGAAGTTGTTAGATCCTAAGTTGTCATTTGTGAACACACCCTGAGAGCTTAGGATTGAGTGAAAGAAGGAAGAGAGAAATTTAGTATAGCAAGTCATGAGTTTTCTTTAGGAGGTGAAAAGTTCTTTTATCATATTTTTATCTCATATTTATAAAGTCATCTTTTGTATAATTACATAAAGGAGGTAGCAGTTATGAAAATCGCTTTGAATACAATTGATGTTCTGATTAATCATATGAATTTCATACTATATTTGTATTACAATTTGAATTTTAACATGATGGTAATTCATGGCTGACTTCTTGAATTTGACCGATTGAGGTGACCGACTAAGTGATGATCGTACCATGGTTTGGTTCGCTGAGGTGCTCAGTTGAGTGTCGATCTCATCCTCCGTGGTAAAGGTGGGTCGACTAATTAGTCGCGATCAAGGATTCTCGCATGCGTCTCGGTCTGTCGGGACCACCAGCATGGTCTGTCGCTCGAATCTCTCATCTTGGTGCGTCGATCGATTCTTGACCACACGGTTGGCAGTAGGGCAGTAGGATGCATTGGTTGTCTGGCCATTGTCTTAGTCATTCAAATGCTTTGAGATTTGTGCAGACTATTGTGGTGTATACATAAGTATAACAAGATGAAATGCTACATAATAAAGGGTGTAATAAGGTCAACAATGACCTAGTTTGCTCTAAATACCAATTCATGAAAAGATAAGCTAATGTATTTAAATGATACCCACCTAATTGATGACTTGGGCTAGACTCAACTCACACCATTCTTGAGCTATGATACACAAAACCCTTTTGAAATTGGGCTGAAAAAAGCTGGATTGATGATTTGATCAAACTTCAAGCTCACTCAGCCTATTAATGGCTTTTAGAAGTTTCCATTATGATCATGAGGCTAAGAAGGGAGCTATGGGAGGTGCAAGGAAGCTCTAGAAGTAAGAGTTTCAGTCAAATTTTCTCCTTTCTCACTTAATCTTACCTTTTTTTAAATATCTGCATTTATTCTAATTCTAACCATTTGTCTTGTTTAATGAAATTTAACAACTTGGGTGAAACCAAAAAGTAGTTAGGGATCAACTTTAAACATGTTGGTGGTTAATTCTAATTAGACAAATGTATTTGTCATTAGACACTCTTATACATGATGTTATCCAATGAAAAAACCATAGTAATTGGGTTTTACTTGATTGAATTCAATTTATGGTTTAATTCCTATTTAGAGGAGCTAATAGGATCAATAGAGAAAATTGATTCAAATGTTGAACTTTCTTTAACACAATTTTACCCTATTTTTTAATGATGGGATACATTTGTTTTTTTTTTAATTTGTGGCTAAAACAATGGGTTAAATGGATCGAACCAAATTAGACCGTGTTCCTATGATCATAAGTTAAAGTAAAATTTATAAGTTGAATTAGATTGACTATTTGTTTAGGCTAAATTACCATTAAAATGGAATTTTCTAATTTGGGCTAAAATGTGAGGTATGGATATATCATGTTCTAATTAACCAACATAGAGGTGTTAATGTAACTTGAGCTAAGCTAAAAATATCTTCTAGATATTCCTGGCTACAATCATTCCTAATAGTTCAATCAACATTCTCCCTTATCTTCCTTGCTCTTAAGAAGTTGCCCATCTTCTAACTGAATGGAGGATAAGTTAGATAATAAGGTCATTGTACTAGCAACCATTGAATTGGAGGTACTTTCAAGCACTAACCTTGTAGGATATGTGTTATTTATTCAATCTTCATAGCATAAATTATTTATATTAGTCTTAAGATACATGAAGAATTAGAAGATCTCACACATTTACTAGTTTTAAGTAGGTAAAAATTTAGGATTGTAAAATCTAATGGATGCTTTTGTATTGAATCATCCATAGGGCCATTTTCACCTATATATTATTTTTCCATTACATTACCTATGTAGTTATATGATAATGTCCATATTATTACTACTAGCAATTGGAGATGTTGTATTAATTGATTATGATTAATCTGTATCTGCATAACAATTCATTGTTGAAATTTTTTTAGAAGCAAACACTGTATATATAAGAAATCAATTTTGAATAAATGTAGAAAACTCATCCAAGAAAGAGGGCAAGATCATAATTTATCAGTAGCTTCATTATAGAATTTGAAATTATATACTATATTCCACAACTCGAACTACTAGACAAAATTAATTGCTTCTTTTTGATAGATGTTGATTGTCTTGGCTATCTTCTTTTCATTCTCTTCCCAATAGTAAAAACATATTAATTATTGATTTCTCTCTAAACATAATTGATCATTGTATAATTTCATCCTTGTTTAAACATGATTAAAATATAGTTCAAGACATGATTGAACGTGGCTCAAGCCATATTAAAAAGTTGTACGAACCATGATTAGCATGCTTCAAATAAGTTTCGAACATAAGCTAAACATTTTCGAACCATATTCCATTAGGATTCAAATAAGATCTGAATATAATTTCGAACACATATTTAGAAATATGGAGCCCCATACTTCTCATATAATAATAATATAAGTGCTTAGTATATTCTTCAATCAAATAAATAAAAAATATAATTTTCAAATTATGCCTACTATTATGAGATATGCAAAGTTAATTTGAACACCCCAATCCCCCAAATGTCAAGTCTAAAATTGAAGGCTTGACCATTGACATCTGTTCATGTGATTTCTCTAAACACCTCGAAGAAGAGAGGATTACACAACGCCTCAGCATCTGTGATCTCCGTGGAGCATTTCATCTTCTTCAAAGCTCGAGATGGCTTCACTCTTGCGAAGAATTTCTCGAGTTGCAGTTCCTATAGGGTTTGGGAATGCGTTCAGGGAGATTCCAAACTCGGATCGCGGCCGCAGGATTCCATTGGGAGCGGCCGCCGCGGTTTCGGGCGCCGCTGCTTTTTGCTTCTTTGCCCCGACGGTGGTGAGTTTCCTGCGCTGTTTCATATTCCATTTTATGGGATCATGATTATAAAAAATTGAAAAACTTGTTGGTATTTTAATGTTCCGATCTCCAATGGGCTGTGCATTGATGTGCATGAGAAGGATTAGTTTTGATTTTACGTAATTGTAATTTTTGGAGTTGTTGATCTTATTTGGCTGGTATCAGGCTTTGATTTAATTGCGACCGTGTTTCATAGCATCTTATAAGCTCTAATTTTGCGGGTTCATGTCCCCTGTTTGTTAGAATGAGCGTAGAAAGGTGCCATTATGTGCGCTGGATTTATGCTTTTCTTTTGTTTTTGTTGATAGGCTCAGCTTGATTCTCAAAATGAAGAAGCTTCTAAGAAAGTTGGTAAGCTTATTTTCTACTTCATTTTGCATATTGTAAGTGAGCATCCTTCTCTTCATTGCCAATATCAACATGATTTTGGCTGTTATTAAAATTTTTTATCGAAATGATTTACGGCTCTAGTACTGCTGCAAAGAAAAAACTGCATTTTGTGGAATGTTTACTTTATGATGTTTTTTATTCTCGATAAATATGTAAAATAAAACTAATCAATTATCTGATTTTCCACCCATGTAATTTATATTCTGATCCCCCAAGTTGGGAGCCAAACTTAATTTTTGAGACAAAAATGGAATTATTGCATCAAAGGGCAAATTGGTTCCGTAAAATCTATAACATTATATCATGTTTTAACTATATTCACTCTATGTCATGTTTTAACTAAATAAGTTGTTCGGTTCATTGGCATCTGCTATTTTCAATGTCAAATAGTACATCGTGAAGCGATGCACAAAACACATAGTGTGGCATGCACTATTTAGGGTTTAGGGTTATGCTAATTTAAGTCGAACTTCTTAAAATGACTTGATTTGAAAATATTAAGTTTTTTGTTAAGATAATATTAATTGCATTCATTAGCATTGATTGTTTAGATAATATTAATTTTAAGTTTGGTAACATTGAGCAAAATGTACTACATTTTATAGGTAATAATTCTATATGAGTGCGAAATTATCTGTTTAACTTTAAACTAAACAATCCTAATGGAATCAATGAAATCCTAATATATTGGAGAGTAATATGAATTAAACAAACGACAATATATTATAAGCCGATGTATTTATTCCACTAAGTGATATCAATATAAGTATTTCCTATGAAGATTACTGAAAATATTGCTTGCACCTGATGAATCCGTCAGGCAAACAAATTCACATATTATGCATATGACACAAATAGTTCTACAAATAATCATAGTTTTTATTCTTTTCAATTTAATACTATAACGAGCTGTATTATAATGGTTCTATGATTGTAATGAATCATGCTGTAACCATGATTATGATTCTAATTATCAATGATATTATAAATTTTATAAATCAATTTCAAGGCATTACGAATATGATCCCGAATAAATCCACACAACACAATTGTATTATAATGAAAAATTGATTTGGGAATGATGATATTGTGGAATGCTATAAAATTGATGAGATTATATGGGCTTAGGGCTTTTCTTACATGGAATTTCTTATGCATCAATCAATGGAAAGAAATTAAAGGAGCCCAAGAGGATTTTTTTTTATCTCAAAACTTCTCTTCTTTCTGTGTTGGGTAGCAAGAAAGATGCACATTAATACCAATTAATGTTGGATTAGATTTTTTGAGTTGTTGACATGTGAAGCAATCCAATATTTAGCGGAAGTATCGAACATTGTAGTTGTGGAAAAACAAATTAGGGAGAAGTAGAACTTATGATCACTCAATTTTGATGTGAATTGAGTGGGAGAAAGGCCCAAAATACGGAGAATGGGTCTTAAGAGTTTTGGGTTTGGGAATTAGGAGATATGGAATAATTTTAACTATTCAATTCAAACTAGAATTGGAATTTAATTGGTCTAGAATTGAATATCAATTGCAATCTATTGCATCTCTATTTATAAGAAAATTAAATCAGAAAATTATAAGTAATAATAAGATTTCCGATAAAACCTCCTTTATCATATTGCTGACTGACAAAAAAAAATGGATGTTTCGTGGCTAACATTCATTGTCAGCCATGAAATTTTAATTCGAAATCCTTGAATGACGATTGAATTTGTCTTTGCATGGCTTGCTTTGTGAAGTTTGGTTTGACTCAATGAAAACCATATTCTATCTTAACTATATCTTTAAAATTCAGCCTTCTTGATGATGTGACCTGAAACCATGTTGGAACTCATGATTTTGGACCCCTTTGACCTGAATTAAGACCCCACTTTATAATATCAGTCCTTTTGTTTATTTCAAGCATCTCTTGAGTTCTCTTGTTTATTTCAAGCATTTCTTGAGTCTCTTGTTTCAAGCATTTTTTGAGGCCTTTTGAAATTGATATAACATATTTGAACTCTATAATTATCAATTTGCTTAATTTATTTCCATTTAGGCTAAATTAGGGTTTAGAGGAGCCTCGCAGCTTAGAATATTGATCCATCTAATTATTGTTGATATTCATTTAATGATCAAGTTACTCATAGAGAATGTGAATCCCATCGTTACTATATCTTATGATTATTCTATCAAATCCAATATGAAATCATTTTTTAATGATATATCATATTATATGGAAGATTTTAACTTTGTATCAGTTCTATAAGTTTAGGCATTTGTGTGAACTTCATGCCAACAATTTGATTTTATTGCAAGTAGAATCAATGATGGAGCCACCTTTTGAGGCTAACTCTGAGGTTGGGCTTGATATTATTTCTGAGCCTAAGCCTGAGATTTTGCTTGAGATTATTTTGAGCCTAAACCTATTGTTGAGAACGATATATCTCTTTTGCTATTTCTATTGAAATAAAGAAATATGTTAATCATGATTATTGACATATTTAGTATTTTTGTAAGATTCTTCTCCAATCATACAAGTTAATGCTTCGAAAGTGTTGCTTGCTTTGTTTCTAAAATCACAAATTGAGTTTTTGTTTCCATTTATACAATTTACAAATGATTATGAGATCTTGTGTGATTTTATTTTTAAAATGATGAAGATGCATGGTGATAATCATATCTAAAATCTCAAAATTCTACTTGGTATGTTCAAACTGCATTTGATGATTCTACAAGTGACATCCATGAATTTGTTCCTCCGCCTCTTCTGCTATGGAGATCATATTTCCAAGAAGACGTAGCTCTTCAAAAAAAGAGTTCTATCAACCCCAGGGGAATTGATGCAGTAGGATGCATTGACACGGGACTCTGCTACGGCTCTTAATAGGGATGCAAGAGAAGGAAGCTAAAGCATGAATGTTCTCGCGTGGGATCCTTTGATCTCGCGATCCAGCTTTTGCGGAATTCATGGGATTACATGATTCCATGATTGTGATATGCATGCGAGACGAGATCTTTTGTTCTGTGATTGAAGTAGTGGGATTCTCCCACTAATCTACTTCTGCCAGGCCATTGTGGGCTCACCTTCTATGTTGTATTATTACAATTATGGTTTCTCTATAGCAAGGGACTGTTTATATCTTGTAATGGCTATTTTGTTTCAGACTTTAGCTTTGTTTATGTATTTGGAGATGTTTTCTCTTGGTTTTTCCTATTAAAATGTCTTATCTTTAGATTTTTCTTAGGCAGTGCGCCTGTAGCCTGATAGGATCAAAGTGGTGATGTCTCCCAGACGTTTGGATTCTTCTTTCATCGTCCAATTTATTGTCTGCTGCTGTTTGACAGCAAAAAGACAACCATTTTTCTCTTCCAATTCACTTTCATTCCGTCGTTCTCTCCTAATTTCAACGACATTCTTTCTCTTTCTTTCCTTACCTATCCAACAATTTACCTACCCCTTTCTTGTGCTATTAAATAGTTTCTAAGAGCCCTAAAACAATATCATTTGGTATTAGACTCAAAAAATCCTATATTTTTTAGGGTATTGTTTTTCTTGTACCAATATCATTCCTACCAAAATTCTTAAATCTACCCTAAATTTTTAAAATCCAACTTTTTAATTTGTCATCAAAAGCTCTGACCAACCTTATTTGTAATCTTACTTCTGCTTGAAACTTGATAGGGTGGAAATGATGCTATGCCACCAAGGAGAAACCCTTAACGAGGTGCCTAAGAACTTGTTATACAGGATATGCGACAGGAAATCTTTCAACTGCAACAGAGGCTTGTCGCCTTTGAGAGGAGACAATCCAGTGATATCACCTATAACCACAACCGTGACTCATCAAATCAAGAGGAAGTGAATTCCTTCCACCAGGTAATTTCTAGTGACGAAGTATTACTATCTTGAAGATTTCACACGAAGCATTAGAGAAGAATTTAGGATATTTACAAGATTTTGACGGCCGCGTGGATTCAGATGAGTTTATCGAGTAGCTTTAAACAGTGAAGTGAATTTTTAGTACAAGGGTGTTTCTTAGCACAATAAAATTAAATTTTCCATCAAACTTAAGAAGAATGCATCTCTATGGTCAGAGAAATTGAAGCATCTTCGACGATAAGACTATAGGAAGGGAAAAGTAAGATTACCACCTGGCCGCATTACCAACATTGTATGTTCATTAAACTCTACCACATGCACCAAAGAGATTTTTTGTAGAGTATGCAGTTAAATTTGATCAACTCATGTTGAAATATGAGATGGTGGAATCAAAGAAGCACACAATACCGGGGTATTTTGGAGGTTTGATGTCATCTATTAGGAATGTGGTGCAGTTGCAGTTGTATTAGTCCCTACTCGATGAAGATACCCCAACTTTGAAAGTGGAAAAACACCAACACCGTCAGGTAACAACTACACCTTACAGGTAGAGTTGAATCCTAGGATTAGGATGTAAGAGTCCACCTAGTAGGACATTCCGACTGACCCCACAGGAGGAAAATCAGTTAAGAGTGAAGAGAAGTTAGAGATTTCTAACACTCCCAAATCTATCCCAACAAAGAGGCGCCTCAAGTGCCACGACTGGCATATTACATTGATTGCTCAAATAGGAGGGTGAGTTCTTTCACTAAGCTGGGAGCAGTTGAAGAAGTGGACATTGACACAGGGAGATGACACAAAGGAGGAGAACTAACTTTCAACTGATGAGGGAGCGATGCTAGTGATTCAAGTTGAGCCCATGAGAGACTCATGAGAGAGACTCCAACATGATTATCATTGGTTGTCTTAGAAGACAGTGAGTACGAGAAGCCGATATTTGAAAATGAGCAACCCATGTTGCAAGAGTTGTTGGATAACTTGATTAATATTTTGTTTCCTAAGTGGCAACCATAGAAAGAGAATCAACATGTCATACACTTCATTCCAAAAATCTTTTTGCTAAACCAACTCATTTATGGAATGAAACCATCCGATCATAAGAACTTGCAAAAATATGTGACACCTTGATGGTTAGAGGCTTGGCTCGTGAGAATACTAACCCAGATGCAATTCAAGCTCTGGTTGTACCAAAAAGGATGGCTACTTCTTTTCAGGACAATCTTTGGAATGATTAGTGTATTTTAGAGTTGTTTGGAATTAGCATGGGCATAGATTTTGCAGTAGAGTTTTCTCAAACACAACGGGATAATTACTTTATCATGATTGTGGTAGATTGGTTCCAGAAGCCTAAAGAAAAAAAGCCGAAGCACTTCCTACCCATGAAGAATGACGTGGGACACTGTTACGACTCTCTACGCAGATGCAGGAGAAGGAAGTTAATGCTAGAATGTTCTCGTGCGGGATCCTCTGATCTTGTGATACAGCTTTTGCAAAATTTGCGGGATTACGTGATTCAGCTATCCCAATATGCACGAGAGACAGAATCTTCTTTCCCGTGATGGAAGTAGCGGGAATATCTCACTAAGCTGTCACCAATAGGCTATTGTGGGCCTGGTTTCTATGTTATTTTATTACAATTAGGATTTCCTTATAGAAGGGGATTATTTATAACTTGTATTGGCTATAATGTTTCAGACTTTGACTTTGTTTATATTATTTGGAGATATTGTCTATTGGTTTTCCCTATTGGACTGCTGTATTTTTGGATTTCTTTCATGTGGTTCATTTGTAGCCTGATAGGATCAAGTGTCCGGACATTCGGAGGCCTTTTTCGTCGTCCAATTTGCTGTCTACTATTGTTTGATGGCAGAAAATAATCGTTTTTCGCCTCCAATTCATTGTCATCCTGTCGTTCACACCAGATTTCAATGACATTCATCACCTTTGTTTTATTGTCTAACAACTTACCTATCCATTTTTTGTGTTTTAAATACCGTCTAGGAGCCCTATAACGATATCATGCATGCAAAAAAAATAATTCTAGATTATTTTTATAATATTTTAGCATTTTTATTTATTTTAAGATTTATTTCAATTTTATTGTTTTTAATTGTTAGCATTATCTTTATTTTGAGTAAGGTGTAAAATTTCAGGACTTATCCAGATTTATGTTTTAAATTTAAGTTTTATTTATCATATAACACCATCTTTATATATAGGGTTGAATGGATATTATTTGGATTTATTTTTGAATTATGAGTTAAAAAATAGAAATCCCTTCTTTGTTTTACTCTCTTCTCTCATATCCATTGGTTTCTCTTTGATTTATAACTTCACACTCTCTCTTCTGGATGGCTCTACCAACTCTTTTTCTCTCTCTGTTCTTGATAAAATTATTACAAGTTTCTCTCTCCGATTGGGAATTCAATTTATCATGTTCTAGAGATCTGTTGGAGGAGGCTGTAGTTCTTTTATAAAGTTGATTGTAAAATTGTTGTGGGGAAATAATTTTTAAAAAATATGTTGTGAGAATTATAGATATTTTTCCCTCCAAAAACTCGGACAATAATTTTCTTATACCCCTGACACTTTACTAGGCCTGGTTGCAAAATTTAATTTTCCACCGTATAGATTTTTGAAAGCAGAAGAAAGACAATTTCCTGAACAGAATTGTGGTGGTGTTTTGAAACGCAATGTAGTAAAAAAACTGTCCCAAACATATCCTTAAGCATAATTCTTAGGAATTCCTACTCTCACATTGTGAGACAGATTCTGGATCTCCTCTCACTGATTTATTTGAACAAATCACTTTTGAAAACACTGGTTTTGCACTGACATATCAAAACACGATATTTTTGTTATTTTTAGGTTTTATTTGCGCACATGAACTTTTGTCCAATTATTATAATTATATTTTATGGTTTCTTTTAGACACATGCTTTGCTTTCTTGGTGCAGCTTATGTGTTTCTTTTCTTAAAGTTAGAACTTTATAAAGCTGCTTTCCGAACAGTAATTTCTATTTTACATGCTTAGAGGCAGCTTTTTAAAGAACAATGGTGAAAAACAGGAGAAACTATCTATTTTTTATCCAAACAGTTCCTGCTTTTTGCTGTTTATTATTTTTATCTTATATTTCATAGAAAGTAAGAAAAAAATGAAGCTTTTTATCCTTCTGTTATTCTCATTTTTATGTTTACTTCCCATTAATTAAAAAAAGAGATCTGAATTATGATATGCCTGCTCCAATTATTTTCAGCACTTAATCCAGAAAAATGGTTGGAATTTAAGCTTCAAGAAACTGCCAAGGTCAGCCATAACACCAATTTGTACAGGTAGTGTAATATCAGCCCTTCATTCATTCATTCTTCAGCAGGCAGTGGAGATGATACTATTTAGATTGCCTATATTGCTTATCTACATTAACGCCTAACTCCAATGCCACTCAGGCATTTCTTATAAGGAAGTTTGTCACATCTATGGAAATGTCATCACTACCCTATGAATTGAAGTTCTGATCTATCAACTAGTATTTTCGGAGATTCCTGTAGTAGTCATGCTATATTCCGGTTTTTATTTGTTATTTCATTTTTTTGACTGTTTGGTGCTTTTAATATCTTTCAGGTTCTCTTTTGATCCAACTGCTAAGTTGGGCCTTGATGTTGCCTCATGTATTATCACAAGGTATGATTTTTGAAAAAGGTATTTTGTTTCTGGGTTCTATTCTGGTACTTTCAATTGTATTAGAATGTCTCTGCACAAATGGTTTGATGTCCTTAGGTTTTTTCTTCTATTAGTGAACAAATCCCTGCCAAACATGCTATGTTTGAACTTTATGTCAGAAACTTCTAAAATTAAGGATATACTTTTGATTTATCTAGTGTGTGCAAGGAAAGCTTTTAAAGATTGATGAACATTGTTGACTTGTATTTGTAACTAATATTGAAACTGCAATCTTCCACCTTTATTTTAACATTTTAGCCTTTGCCCTCTCAAAACAGGGAGTAAGTGTATAATTGGTTTATTTTTTTGGTGCAATCTTCAATTTTTGATTATCTTTTAGTCATTTGCTTATTTCAGGGCACCTATTGGAGAGGAATCAGAGGGAGGAGGAAAATATGTAATTCGACCGTAAGTTCCCCCTATTAGAACACATTTTACTCATACTGAGTTTTCGGTGTACAGCACCTTCCTTGGTAATTTCTTCTAGGGAAAATTCAGGTTCCATTTTTAAGGACAATCCGCCTCAAGGGATTATTTTGCTTTAATCACATTATGTTTAGTTTAGAATAGTTGTCTTCCATGGATTCATTTAAAGAATGCTCTACTGAGGTTAACTTTCTTGATATGGTTGTCAGGCTGTAATGTGTGCTTCCAACCCTATGCACCATTCCAGCTGCTTGGGACGCAACTTTCTTGAACAATTTCATATGCATGTTGGTGCCAAACCTTTCTTCAAAAATTCATAATCATTAAATGCATCATGCAGCACAATTACCTTGCTTTTTACAAAGCAGCAGAATAAACTCGCAGTGAGTGTTTCACACTTTCGAATTCTTTATAGCTACACCATATACTGTATCTTTATTGTTGTAAAATTCAGCAGGAAATTGTCATTATGTCTTCACTATGCTCTGCTTGGCCATGCTTTTTATTGCCAGATTATGCCTCTCTTGACTATAGTAGTTTAAGTTGTTTAGTGGAGGAAAATTCAACTGCGGTACGAAAATGTTCAGCTTTATTAAAGCTAAAAAATTAAAAAAAAAAAAAAAAAACTGAGCAATCGTGCTAAGAGCAGTTTAAAAATGTTTAGACAAAAATTCCCTAACCTGCGCCTTCTAATACCTTCGATAATCTATACCATCTTAACTTTTTGTTAAATACTCTCATTCCTTGATAATTGCCTTTTAAGATAGTCATATAGTGGATGGATTTTATAAGATCATTCTTTTATTATCAGCTAACTAATATTATAATATTGATTTAACTTTTATGGGACTAAATATTAATCAATAATTCTACATTAATTAGCAATAATACAAATTATAGTTTTAAAATGTTACTTGCCATTTCTCGTTACCATTATTTTTATAAAACATTTTCATTTCCCACGACACATTAGACATCAATTTTACTCAACAAACAGTAGTGTTTCCCAAGACATTACTATATGTTACAATACCACTCAACAATGTGTTCATGACTACAATAATTATAACAATAGCTTATTTTCAGGTATACACCTATATCAGATCCTGATTCCAAAGGCTTTTTTGATTTATTAATCAAGGTAAGAAAATTTAACAGCGCTGACTCTTATTTTTTATGGTGCCAACTTTTGTGAAGAACATTTCTTACTTTCCTGGAAGTATGCAATTTGTTTTCCTACTAATTGAAGATATTAGTCATCCTTTGAAATAAACTTGACTGTTTTTATCACCCAGGTTTATCCAGAAGGTAAAATGAGTCAGCATTTTGCACAATTGAAGCCAGGAGATGTGTTGGAAGTGAAAGGGTACCTTATTTCAATCCCTTCCTTCATTTTGCGCTTGATAATTGCAAACTTTTTCTGGAGTTACTACTTTTGTTTCTAATAATATTTTTTCTCTTAAAACTAATGCAGACCTATTGAAAAGCTCAGGTACAGTCCAAATATGAAAAAAAAATTTGGAATGGTGAGTAATTAAATAAGCCATTGTTAGATGTTTTGTACGTTTATGACTACTGTGCTTCAAGTTACATATATGTCTGTCGGTTGAAATTTTAAAAAAGAGATGGCTCTTTATCAACGTGACATTGATGGAATATATTATATCCTTAGTATGAAATATCATTCTCAAATGCCATTGAATTAATTTAAGATACTAATACATTACACCTCTTCTTCATCTTGTTTGTCAGATTGCAGGTGGCACAGGTATCACTCCAATGTTGCAGGTTATCAAAGCTATTCTTAAAAATCCAAATGACACTACTCAGGCAAGTTCTTCATCCTTGTAACAACGAATGGAATGCCTTGAACTACACCCCGACTCCATCCAACTAGAAATTTTCTAATGAAATATTGATTCTTCCATGAGAAGGCATTTCCTAGGAAGTTCTAAATTTTTCCGCACGCAACAGTTATTAGTATTGTGAATACTTTGAATGATTTATAACGCCAAATTGAAATAGTTGGAATAAAGAGCAAATGTTGGATGGCTTGTGGTTATGATTTTCTAGTGTAATATTATGTATGTTGATCACATGAGAAAATTTAGCATTTACAGATCACTTATTACTGAGCATGAAAAATTTGCTTTCTTCAAATGCAAATATGTAAATTCTTGAATTAAAATCCAATTGAAATGCAATGATCCAAAAAATTCAAAGAAATCAATGAGAAATTCAAGCAATGCAAACTTTTTGAGAAATTGCAATTTGTTCACCACATTGGGATTTCAATTTGTCAAATTTTAACAAAATTAGTGATACTAGCAAGCCAATAACAAAATATGTAGAATAAGGCAGGTTAAAAAATGATTTAATCGGTGTAGGATTTTTCAGCCTCAACATCTATGCATGGAAATAACTCCTCTTGTGAATAGATAGTCATGGTTATATCACACTCGAAGTAATCACTAAAATATCTTCTACATGTAAGATTGAAAAATATAAGAAATTTTATTCTATCAAAGTTGTCTGAATTACATGTCTTGGACTCATTGTTTATAAACTTCTATCCTTCAGGTTACTAGATATGATTAGCACAAATGCCTGCCCATTTTATTTATAAACATTTTCTAATTCAAAAATGAGTTAGCTTGGTTTATGGCAAAAGCCGATAATCACAATTATATCCATGTATCTTATTTACTTTTTCTTCAAACTTAAATTTTCCACTTTTATTCTATCAAAGTTGTCTGAATTACATGTCTTGGACTCATTGTTTATAAACTTCTATCCTTCAGGTTACTAGATATGATTAGCACAAATGCCTGCCCATTTTATTTATAAACATTTTCTAATTCAAAAATGAGTTAGCTTGGTTTATGGCAAAAGCCGATAATCACAATTATATCCATGTATCTTATTTACTTTTTCTTCAAACTTAAATTTTCCACTAAAGTTGTCTGAATTACATGTCTTGGACTCATTGTTTATAAACTTCTACTCTTCAGGTTACTAGATATGATTAGCACAAATGCCTGCCCATTTTATTTATAAACATTTTCTAATTCAAAAATGAGTTAGCTTGGTTTATGGCAAAAGTCGATAATCACAATTATATCCATGTATCTTATTTACTTTTTCTTCAAACTTAAATTTTCTACTAATGACGAACCACAATATGATGTTTCTTAAGCACAAGTTGTAAAAATTCCAGCTAATAACAAACAAAACCCATTGCTTCTTGTAATTTAATAATGGCAAAAACTACGCCTAACTACAAGCTACTGAATTACGACCTTAAAGTTTCTTGCATTAGGTTGGATCAAAATAATATCATTCACCAATAGATAATGCCAAATAACCACCGTTTGAACAACTCCCCCATAAACTGTAGGAAAGCATAGCTAAACTGTAAGGAACACCAAATAAGAAAAAGATGCTCCCAAAACAGTAGGCAATTGCTCCACAATTTCGGACTTGAGAGTAACCATGACCTAATTGATCTTAATACTTGATAAACCATATGACCAACTTAATACAAGGCATCAACTAATTGAAAACACATTTGCTTACTATTTGTCATCTATATGTTCCAAACTAATGAAATTATAGAATAAATCAAAATAAACCGAGTCATTTATTCAAATGAATTTTGTTTATACCATTGCTTGATATGATACTTCCAATGAGAATAAGCTTGTATATTTTCATCAAATCATTTTGGCTTGATAAAGTTGCTTATGAATTCAGTATCTGATACTTATCAAGCAAATTAAGATATATACTTTATGTTTCCAGAAAAATTATTCATGAATCATCATGTTGGATCTTAAGTTATCGATGGGTTTTGCTAGAATTTACTAACCCAAAAAAAGCTGAGAATGATGAAAGAGATGTAGCACATAGAAGAAAAATCCGCAGAAGAGCTCAAAAGAGTACAAGAAATATTGGCAAAATCTAAAACCTATGACATGAAAAAGTTGGGACTCCCCCCAAAATTTTGATGATTATCAAGCAAATTATGATATATACTTTAGGTTTCCAGCAAAATTATTTATGAATCATCATGTTGAATCGTAATTTATTTGTGGGTTATTATAGAATCTACTAACCCGAAAAAGCTGAGAATGGTGAAAGAGATGTAGGACAAAGAAGAAAAATCCACAGAAGAGCTCAAAAGAGTATAAGAAATATTAGTAAAATCTAAAACCTATGACCTGAAAAAGTTGGAAATTCCCCAAAAATTTCTCTCTTTGGGCTGTCCCCAAAATTTTTATTTATAGGTAGGGCCCTGGGGTTTCAATTGTTACAAGAAAAGCTACAGCGTGAGCTATATATATACAGAAAAATCAAAAAAGTATTAGAGGGGGTACGTAGCCTTGATATTGACTTGGACTTAGACTACTAGTTAACTATAAGATGTAAATGAATTGTTGGGTCCCCTTATAAGTATTGGCTGAGCGTTTTTTACAGAGGTAGTTGGCTCTCTGAGCTGGTTCGGTTCGACATGCCTATGGTTAGCTTCAACCAAGTTCTCTTTGAGCCTTGTGGAATTGTTCTCCTCTAGTCGACACATGACTTTGCCTAATCCTCAGCAGATAATTGCCTTCAACTTATATAGGCAGGTTGCTTTGGGAAATGATTGGCAAGTCCATTGGTGAACCCCTTCTAACAAGTTTGACCTGAGCTCATCTTGGTGAGATCCTTTATGGGATCGTCTGGGTGAGTATGCCTATTAATCCTTTGTTTGGGTGAGGTTGCCTCTTTGGGTGCACTTGTAGTTCTCCTATTCTCTTGTATTTTTGGAGAGAGATTGCAAAAAAAAAAAAAAGGAGAATGAGATGATGTACTTTCATTCCAGGTTAAATTCCATACCTTGCCTACTTCTTCTTAGGCAAGTATATACTATTGAGCTAGCTCACTTTTTCTTTATATCGAGTTGGATAGCTGTCGGTCAACTTTTTCGATTGATTAGATTTATTTGAAAAATATGATATATAAAAATAATTTTTGAGATTTAATTTAAATATAAAAGATATATAGTTTGGGTTTTGAAAGTAGTGTGTTTTAGTTTTTTGAAAAATGAGACCAAATGGATCTCATTAGTCTGATAGTTTGCA